GACTTTATTTCAAATATATCTTACAGTTTGTGTGTGATTAGGATTGCTTTTCAGACTCTGAAATTTAATGTTGAATTTAACAGGCACTGTACAAAATGGTGGTGCTCGTGCGGTCTACCCAACCCCTGCAATCATTCTGTCAGTAATTGTTTCTCCTCTTTAAGTGGAATTAGTAGAAACATCAATAATAGAGCAACTTTCATCCTCTTAGTTACATGTTGAGTAGCAACAAAGTACTATTCCATATTTGTTTGTATCGTTAGAAAATGGCAATAATAGGGGGAGAAAAATTTCGTATATCTGAACCTAATTGACAAATGATGGTATGGTTTGGTCAGAGCTGAACTGGCTCAGTCTTGGTAGTAAAAATGGTTTGATAAGCAAATTTGTAGAACCAACAAAATTGTGGGACAGATGTTTTTAAGCCTACTTAAGAAGACATAATAACTATTTGTTAAGAACTTTTAGCAATACTATTGCATACACTTTACACACTAATAACAATGCTTATAAAACAGGTCTTCTTAGCTACTGTTAGGTTGCTTTAGAAACTCAAGAAAAATAAATTGGATTTTTTTCATGAATATTCTTCAACTCAAAACATTGAACTATTTCATGCGTACCTTCACCTCCCTTATTATAATTGAGGCTTCAATCTTGTCAAGTTATACATGGGGATGACTTCTGAAGTTTAAAATTTGCTAAGAATGACAGTATCCTCATTTAAAAATAAAGTCAGCTGCCTCAACCACAACTGAAATTTGAAAAATTTAATAATAATAATAATAATAGGTTTATTTGGCAAGAATTGCTTTTATGTTTGTTGAAGGTATTGGCAGTAAGAAAACAATCTGTTATTGCATGCCAGTCCTAAATAGTCTTAAAGCAAGTAAAAACATAAAGGCCAAGAAAAGAAAAGAATGTCTCTGAATTAAGAGTATCACAGGACAGTTAAGTGAACTTTATTTGGTAGGAGAGAGAAGATGGTGATTGGAACCCTGCCCCTTGGTGATCTAAGTTTTCCTAACCAGACAAGATTTGCTTTTCCACATGTACTGAGCAAATCCTCATTGCTGTTTTCTGAAGAAACAGGATGAGACTGTAGCCAGTGTAGCTGTTGGAAATCTATTATAAATACTACATGGAGCATGTATTTTTCAACTTCCACAATGGAAATCTTCACATACCCACCACTGGTTTTGCAAACATTAAATAACTATAGATTGGTGCATTAATTATATTTTGTGTACCACTTGCCTGGCTTCTCTGAAACCTACAAGTGTTGTTGCATGAAGAACAGTGCGAAGCAGAGAAACAAGGGTAAACCATGTACCTGGTACTGGTGGATATCATGCCCTTAAAAAACTTGCTGAGACAGACTAAGAGCTCCTTCCAGTTGCAAAGCCTTGCCTGTGCACTGATCCTGTTTCAGGTTTCACAAAGGCCCAAGTATGGTAGGCAATGATGGGCAGAATTTGACATGTAAGAAAGGGAACGAGAAGAGGAAAATAGCCCCACCTACTGGCTGATTTTAAAGGACTGGCGTCCACTCCAAGAACTTATATTTTTAAGCTAATTCTGAAACAGGTGGAACACGAACCAGACTTTGTAAAATACGAGGAACAAATTGTAAATAGAAAAGATCTTCTTTATGTACTTGCTTTATATTCATTTGTACCAGGCATCAGTAGCTTGAAACTTACAAAATAACCAACAAATCAACCAACCAAAAGCCCATACAGGAAACTATCAGACATTGTGTAATAAGGGAGATTAAACAGTTGGGTGAAAGAGACAAGGAAAATGGCCCCCTGGAAGGAAAAGACATGCCTTGTTTCGGCATTTGCTTAAAGGTGGATATTGGGGTCCAGAGTTTAAAGTCAGAACATTAAAGAAATTTGGAAATATCCATTTTGATAAATTAGGTACCAGCATGGTGATGACTTTTTACTTATTAGTAATTTCAAAAATTGAAGTTTAGAATTTCTTTCTATACAAACAACACAAAGGGACACCATTCTGGAGTGCAGCCCTCTCACTCCACTGCATCAAGCCTCAGAGAACTTTGAGACTTTGAAGTGTATCACTAATTACCTGCACAAGTAGTATCTTTTTGACATTACAGTATGCCTTGAGCCCTGTCTGAGTTCTGGTTGTCCATCTTGAAGTGTTCCCTTCTAAAAATTAAATGCTTAGCTTGGTCAACTTCAGTAACTGGGTTTAGTTATAATGAAAAAAAAATATTTCTCATATTTTTGCTCTTTTAAATGATTACACCTCCATAACCAGAATTGTGAAAAGAAACACAGTATAATAGGTAAAGAACACATTTGCTGTTTTTATTGGTGCCTTGCATGGCAGTAATACTGAAAAAAAAAAAAAGAATGCAAAAACAAAACAAAACAAAACAAAACAAAAAAAAAACAGAAGACAAACAAAAAAAACAGGTTGGTGGCAACCCACATCTTTTTTTTTTTTTTAAGAGTACATAAACTCCTGTTTTATTTTTATTGTGGCATGAATGATAACATAAAACCAAAAAACATGAAAATATACAACTTATATTACACTATGTGTTATGAACAAAATATAAATCTATAACTCTATGTTATATTTACATAATTATTTATTTTATTAAATTTCAAGTGAGATGGTAGGTTGCACATACTTTGTTTTAAGCTCCAGGCATTTGATTGTCTCTACTTTTTCCCATTTTTTACTCGTAAAATTCAAAATGTTAGAAGAATTTAGAGCTTTAGAGCCAGTGGAGCTATATAAATACTGTTTTAGTGAACCAGTGACAGGAACACTGAGGAGGACAGGAATCCATCAGTAGAAAACTCAACACAACATCATCTTCAATCAGGGACACTGATAGTTATAGAAACTTTAAAATTAAATACTGTAAAAGTCTGGCTAAACCAAACCTATGCCCTATTAGACAATGAGATATCTGAACCACTTTAAGTGGGCTTCATATTTTTCCTTGCAGACCCAATAAAATTTATTTTACCATTAACTTGATAGACAAATATTTTATAAACCTGCTTGTAAATATACAGTTGTTCATTATAGTTCAATAATTTAACCATTATAATGATTGAAAATGTAATTAATTTTAATGTTTTATATGTGATAGAAGAGGTTTCTTTGGGGAATAGTAACTTCTAGATTAACAAAATATCTGAAATTGTATCATAAAATAAAATGGATAATTTTCTTTTAAATCAATGAAAGTGAACATCTCCTTCAGAAATTGAACCTATGAAATAATTTCAGCAAAGAAAACTATCTTGTATTTGTTCCTTATAAATGGATTTGGTTTCAGTAATGATTGTGTCTTTGGGAGGGATTTTATACACGGTTAATTTTTAACTGCATATGCCAAATAAATGTTAAATGTTGACTTAACTAATTTAAGCATAAATGTACTAAAGACACTTTTTTTTCATTTTAGCCAATTGTAATCAAAATTATTAGTAACTTATAAATAACACTAGTTTTCTCCAGTGATACTCTCTTAGTTTAGATTAGAGCATAACTATTTTTAGAGGAACTGATCACAACCATAAAAACTATAATTATAGCAAATTATTGTCAGTGCTGTGTGTGTGTGTGTGTGTGTGTGTGTGAAAGAGAGAGACAGAGACAGAAAGAGAAAGTGAAAGAAAGGATTAGGTGGGCATGAACTAGTAGATAGGAATGGAGAGGAGAGAGGCTTTATGTTCAATTTGATCATATTCCTATTTTCCACTCCCTATTCTTTTTTGGTCATCACGGAGCACAGAAAAAGAATGCAGTTTTAAGATCCTTCACAAAAATTATAAACCAATCAAATACCATAAAAGGCAGTGTGTTAACACAGCAAGATGCTATTCATAGCACCTTTTATCAGATGACTTCAAAGCATTTTAAGGATTACTATAATTTTTTGGTTTATTTTCTTTCGGGGAAAACTAAGATGAAAAATTTTGATACCTGGTGAATAAGCCATCAAAATAAGGGAAGCTACTGTGGGGGGTGTGGATCTGTTTTTATTTTGGTCCTGACAGTTTAGTCTCTTGCCATAGACCTTACTAAAAAAGAATGAACGTCTGAATTTCAGCAGTTAGAGGTCACCATTCACAATAACATTTTCACCTTCAAATAAAATAAAAACATGCAAAAAAAAAAAAGACCAAACGAAGTATTTTATCAATTCACTGGTGAATGTGTTAAGATTGGTTTCAGTCATGAATGCCCTCAGTGGCATCTTACCTGGAGCTAAAACAAAGTATTCTTGTAGCCCAAAGTCATGAAATGAAAACAAAGCATCTTTATAACATGGTGTAAAATAAGTATCCAGCAAACGTGAGAGGTGAACCCACATAAGTCAGAAAGAATTTTTTTAACAAAGACAGAGAACAAATTTTTAAAAATCTGTTTCACATTGTACATAATAACGATATAAAAACAAGTGTCTATTTTTTTTTCTTATCCAGAGTGCTTAAAAACAAAACAAAAACAAAAATATTGGCTCTAGATGACTGTGGCAATTAAATAACTAAAATGAGTGATGAGAACATAAGTTAATTCAGATTGAACGTGACCTTCCTATTAATTCACTCTTCTGTATTAAACATCAGAACCTGACATTGTTGGGGCCAAATTTTTTAAAAGGAGAAAACCTATGAAGGAGAAGTAAAACTGTGTGAGTGAGTATGTGTGTGTGTGTATATATGTATTTATGTGTATAAATATATATATATATATGTATGTGTGTGTATATATATATATATATATATATGAGTTGGAGATGGAAATTCATTTTAAATATCTAACAGCTTATTGGCTGCACTTCCAAATCAGAGCAGAATAAAATAGAAAGGGAGAAATAAATTATACATAACTTACTAATCTGGGAACAGCTGACCATTATTATTATTATTATTATTATTATTATTACTATTATTATTTTATCATCATCATCATTACAACACTAGCAAAAAGAGGCAGTTCAAATGAATATACAGTCATCAAAAAACAAACAGAAGAACAAACAAAACAAATTTCTGACATGCAGGATGTGATCAGCTCCTCCAAACAAAACCCTAGAGCAAGTCTTTTGAGAGAGAGAAAACTAAAAGTTAAAAAAGAAAAAAAAATATTTTTTTCTGCTTCATATAAAAAAAAAACGAAACTTTAGGGTCAGGTTTTGAGGGTGGGGAGGGGGTGGTGGACAGAAAATGATGACTGGAGTGAAACCACTGCACATCATCCAAGCTACTATTTGCAGGATTTACTGTCTGATGCCCCAGCACAAATAATGGCGACTGACTTTTAGTGAATTTTGATTTATTTGTATAGACCCTACAACTGCTGTGACGTTTGGCTGGCCCATAGGTTGCTGCTGTATGCACAGACTCTGCTGGAATCCAGTTGGATTTCAGGGGACCCAACACACAGCAAGCAAAGGGTGAGTAGTGGCCATGGTCATAGGACTTGACCAGGCTTCACTGGTTGGGATGCTATGATTTTTGATTGAATCCTGCTTTGCATGGCATGAGATGCACGTGGCCTACGATTCTTAAATGCTAATGGCCTCTACTTGTTTCATGTAGATATGGAAGATGTACTATAAAATCACCAGTTCCCATTTCCTGATGAGGAAAAGATGGAATGTTGAAAATATAATTTTGTGTTTCTGGAAAATGGTCACATAGTAAAGAAAACGATGATCACTTTCTTCAGAGTTATCAACAAGAAAAACAAAGAGTAATCATGAAGTAGCAAACATCAGTGGAACCAAATAATCGGGAAGGAGGGACATCTGGGAGCAGCTCACTTGTAGCTTCCATGTTCTACACACACCTCTAATACACAGGGCCACCTGATCTGCCCAATAATCATTGTAATAGAAATTTAAAAATAAAATTTCTGAGCCCTACACTGGTTGTCATTTGAAGTGCAAAGTCAAGGTCAAGGTTGCTTCCAGACCAGTCACTTAGGAGGATGTGGGATTTCATCCCCAGATGTGGGTTTAACTCACAATGGTCCAAGGTTATTTCTATTAGTACCTTAATCACACACATACATACACACAAAAATCCAAGATCAGAAAATATTTTTTCTCTAAATTTCTTATGTCTCTCTCTCTCTCTTTTCACCTGAGAACAGCACCTACAGTTTCCACTAAAAAAAAAAAAAAAAAAAAAAGTCAAATCTCACCAGCTGCTGGTATTTCAGGTTTTTTTAAGGGATTGTCTAAGATATAACACTGTCCTAACTTAAGAAAGATAGGGCGGGGGGGAATGAACTGGGTCAACACTTCAGTACAAATTTGGCACTTGCTCAAAGATGTAGTGTGGTGTGCAACAGATAAGGAAAATCCTCTAAAGAAAGTAGTTGCTGATTTTGTGGTGGATAGCAAGGAAGTTAAAAACAGGGTCTTATTCCCTCTCTCCTCCCCATGCACAGACTTCCATCTTAGAGTGTAGAGATGGAGAAGGCGGAGAGAAGAGAAACTCATCTTTCTTTTTTTCTGTCAGGTGCGTTACCAAAAAAAGAGAAGAAAAGGAAGAAAAAAAAGGAAAAGGAAAAAACCCAGAAACCCCAAAGAACAAAACAAAACTTATTCCTTTTAAAAATTGTAGCACAAAACAACAAAACACATTCACAAGCCACTTGTTGGCACTGTGTACCTGAGTGAGAATTTCTAGAACATTGTAGAACAAACAGCCATAAAGTTTATTTAAAAAAAAAAAAAAAAGTTGACGGGTAAGACTTCAGTGCTTGGATGTAGCAGCTGAATTACTGGCATATTTTACCCATAGCTTATTTCATTCTCCTTGTTGTTGATATTGTTGTTTGATTGTTGTATTTTTTTTTTCCTTTCAAGCCTTTTGAGGCTGAGGTCTATTAGTCAGCTGATGTCCCAACTATTTAAGACTAACAGTTAAAGTAACAGTCAGTGTATGAGAAAGTTAATGTGCTTGGCCACTGGTAAGGATGAACCAGCTAGGGCTTCTTGAAGTCCTAAGGTCACAACAATATCTTGTCCCTTATCAGTTGGCTTGTCCTGCAATATGGTTTTCACTGTCACTCCCATAATCTACATCTGGATCATCCTCTTCCTCATCGTACTCATCATATATTTCTCCGTTGATGTCCTCAGACTGTATCTCCTCTTTGATATGTGGCTCCTCTCCTTTCACACCGTAAGTGCTCTGGATAACAGGCATTCCAGGCTCCGGGCTGCTGGACACGCTTGAGTGCTCGGAGGGCAGGTGAGGGGAGGGCATTCCCGCCATGGCGATGGCTCCCGGGTACACAACTCCCGCCGTGGCGATGGGAATCTGTGCTTGTTGCCTGTCGGAGAGGAATTCCCAAAAGAGAGTGTGGGTCAGTGGGGACTTAAAAACAGGTTCCCCCTACAGAATTAAGTGTGCAGCTTGTCCAACTTTAACGTTATGATTTCACCCTATCGCCTAACTTTTACAAAGTACATCCTGCTTTGATGCTAACACAGGCTCTATGGATGAGAAGACATTTGCATGTGCTTCCCATTTACTTCTTAAAATAATTCTGTTCTATTTCTAGTCCATTTTATGCAAAGACTGAGGCGCAAGAAGATTAAGCAGAACTCACATCCTTGACGGCAAGTTATTTTTCCTTCACTAGAAAAGCAGAAAGTCTCTTAAAAGTTAAACCTTAGGGATAGTTTTTCATTAAGGATTTATTTATTTATGCATACAATAGCTGGGGTGTAGGCCAGAGATGCAGGGGGTGAGAGCATTCACCAGAGTGAGGAGCAGAGCAGGCAGCTCTACTGAAACACACTGCTGAGGGGAGCAGCAGAGGTCTACTGTGCCTCGTGGGTCAGCTCCCTGGCTGGGGATGAAACTCCTGCTGCAGTGGCTGCTGATAACCTCACAGTGCTGAGACTAAATCCCTTGTGCCACAAGGGAGGCCCCCCCTAAGGATAATTTAAACAGAACACCCCCCCAGGTCTCCCCCCATAAAACTTTACTGTCCTGAACTCAGGAGGACTGAGCTCTCTCCCACTGTCCATTATGCTGCAGGCATAGTTTCTGTGGGGACAGGAAGCAGTAATGAACACCAATTCTGGTGTTTCTAATATTTTAAGGGTGTAACAGTAGATTTCAAAAAGACTGTCAGATATTTTATTTTCCAACCAGCCTCTGACAGGGCTCACACGAGGGCCATTGCCCTGGGGGGTATTCTTTAGTCTCTGGATATACACTGTAGTCGGGTTCTTTTCCAAAATGCTGCTGCAGAACTGCACAAACTTGTGTCACGACTCTAAGTGCACAGGCACTGTTCCCCGGCCGACACCCAGCGGCCGTACCCCACGTTGAAGTACTGCCGCATCTCCTGCCGCCTGTTGCGCATGATGGCCTTGTACTCCCCAATGCGCAGCTTCTTGCCGTCCACGAGGCAGGTGCGTTTCGGCCTGGGCTTGTACTTGTAGTCGGGGTACTTCTCCAGGTGCTGCTTGCTGAGGCGGGCTTGTTCCTCGTAGTATGGCTGTTTCTCTAGGTTGGTCATAGCTTTCCAGCGAGATCCTAGGAAGAACAACAGGTTAGAATTCCTATCCGCCCATTTGTTGAGCATCCTCAAACGATAGCTGAGAATAAGCAAATCTGAAGTAAAAATGCCCAAGTCCAGAAAAACATAAAAATGTGTTTGAGGAGTGTTTCTATGATACAAGAAGTGAGAGGGACCCTAAGACGAGAGCTTGGTGGTTGTCTCCTCAAAAAATCAGTAGTCAAAAACACAGGCTCCTGGCAGCAGTATATACAATGTGTAATGTACTTATACATAGATAATTTAATGATGTGATTTTATATCTACCTTGGTTCATGAGGTAATTCAACAGTGAACTGAAAAGTTATGCAAAAACTCATTACATATGTTGAATCTGAGGTTAAATAGCCATGCTGGGGTACATTACTTCTATTCAGGTTTACACACACTTCTCATTCTCTTCAAAATGTTTACATATGCGTACATGAATGCTGACAATGAAAAATCCATTTAATGAAAATTTCCATTAACAAGTATGCACCAGCTAGCTACTATGTGCTAGATACTATGCAGAGTTTTGTGTCTGCTTCACTTTTCAGCATAATCTAGGTGAAGTCATCTACTAGATTTACTAAATCACACAACTTTCAGGTGGCAGGTCTGTGACTCATTCTAAGGTCTGAGGAGATTCAGAGTGGGCTACTGCAGTTGTCTGCACATCTATCTACTGCATAGAAGAGGGCAGGCATAGAACAATAACTATGCAGAGGAAGACTTTTCTGCTGAGTGACTTTTATAATGCATAAAAATGTCACTTACTGTGTTAAAAGTATTTGTTATTAATATTAACCCAAACATGCCCCTTGTCTCTTTTAATTTTGGTTTGGATCCAACTAGGATTGAGAAAAAACAACGGTAACTTAATTACAAATAGTTTATGCAAATTCTCAATATAAGTGCGGTTTAAAGTTTTGATTTTATGATAGTGGCTATGTGGAGCAGGCAAAGCAGTAGTCAATAGTAAGCCTTCTTTTTTACTAAGCATGTGAAAGAGTATCTATGTGCAGATGAAGTATGCCTTTATCTCCAAGTAATCAGCTGAACTCTTATCAAGCACTCAACCAAATCCCTACCAAATAGGCATCTGTGCTGTTGTCCTTATAGAACCTCCCATCTAAGCACGATCTTAAATGCTTTTGAATGGGTTCACTACTCAGTAGTGACCCGCTATGTAAAATGCAAATAGCTTACTGATGAACTGTTCTTCCCTATAAATGCAGAGGATTCCTCTGGGATGTCAGTTATCAAAGGAAGGCAGTAAAAAGGACCAGAGTTCTTCCTGTAGAGCTATTTCCTCTTGGAACATATGTTGCTTGCAGGGGCATATCCATGTTGGTGTTACAAAGACTGATGAACAGATTATTTCCAATCTAGACAGCCAACATTATTTTATTTATGACAGAGACCAAATAATAAAGATTAAGTTTCTAATTCTGTTCTCAAACTTGTGTAGAAATTACAACCTAAGTCAGTTGATGAGGTCTTATCTGTAGGTATAATATTGACCTCCTTATTGTCCAACGTTATTCTCTAGAGGTACCTGCAAACCACTGTGTTGTTTTCAGGGTGAGTATAGACATAGGTAAAGCTACACTGATACTGAATTGGATCATCTTTTCATGTAATTTCTTATCAGTATGTATATTAGACTTCTGAACCTTAGATTCAGGAGTAGAAAAGTCAGAAATTCCTGAATAATTATAGAAGTGTACCAAAAACATGTCAAGTATGGTTGATTGAACATTCATAAGTTGTCTTTATCACCAAATAGAACAAAGACACTAGAATTTGTAATTAGAATCTGAATTGCCAAAGACTCCTCCCTAATTCTAAATGTCTATAAGCTTCAAAAAAAAAAATAGGTTCCTCCGAGAAAGATTTTATTTATGTCATTTCAAGTTAGTTATATCTTGAATTGAGAAAACTGGTTTATAATGTTTTTTTAACTCTTCACAATTCCACAGTTTCTAAATACATCTACTCAGTAACTAAATCAATTTTTGTTTATATGCATGCATATTTAACCTAAGTTGTTACCACTGATATACTTTTACGTTTGCTTTTTTTTTTTAATATTAATGCATACAGAGTTGGGGTACAGGCTAGAGGTTCAGGGGCATGAGAGGATTCGCCAGAGATAGAGTAGGGAGCAGAAGTACACTGCTGAGGGGAGCAGTGAGTGGGTCAGGAGAGGTCTACCTTGCCATGTGGCTCACCTCCGGGGCGGGGATGGAACTCATGCTGAAGTGGCTTTAGCTTCTTTGTGCTGTGCTTTAACCTGCACCACCAGAGAGGGCCCACATTTGCTTTTTTAAACTAATGGCAAAATAGTAGTTTGTACTGTTATATTTGGGTGATAAAATTTAAGTGAAATTTTATCAGTTGCCTTAACTATAATGTAGATCTCAAAATTCTTATATAACTTTTGTTATGTTACTGACATAATATTAAGGTACAAAGCCGTAGAGATTTCAGATGTACTTTCTCATCTTGGAAGTCACTCCACGACCACCCCCAGATCTCCAGTCGCTACCTACTCATTGACTACCTCAAACTTACTCTCTTCCCCCACCTTCCCTGCTGATAACCTCAGTTCAGTTGTTGGAGTGTGTTTTTGCTTTTGTTCCATTTGCTTTTTTCCCATTATATGGTGTTTGTCTTTCTCCTTCTGAGTTAGCTCACTAAACATGAATGGACCTTGAGATCATGCTGCTGGAATAGCAAGGTTTCATCTTTTTTAATGGCTGAGTAGTATGCTGCAGTTTCTCAATCCACTCATTCATCCTTGGGAACTTAAGCTATTTCCATATCTTGGCTATTGTGAGCAGTACTACAAAAAGAGAGGGGTGCATGTATCTTTTGGAATTAGTGTTTTCATATTTTTCGGATAAATACCCAGAAATGGGTCTATAGGATCACAAGGCAATTCAATTTTCAAAATTTTGAGGAACCAAAATATACTGCTTTTCATAGTGGCTATATCAGTTTATATTCCCACCAACAGTTCATGAGGTTTCTTTTCTCTAAACCCATTCCAACACTTGCCATTTCTTGACTTTTAGATAATATGCATTCACATCATACAGTAGTATGGTTTGCCTAGTTCAATCTTCTGCCTATTGTTTCTTCACTAGGTAGCTTGTTTGTATTTTCATTGTATGGAATTTTGTGTGTGCATAAATAAACCTAAGGGAAAGTTTATGCTTCATAGCAACCTGCCCTGGAATATGAGAACTTTCTTCTTAGACTTATTACTGTGTGCATGATGAAGTCAGGGGTATGCAGTAGCAAACTGTTATGGTTACCTCTGTTCTTAAAGCTTACATTTCCAGTGGAGAAGAATACATTCAGCAAATATTTACAAAGTTTATTATTTTAATGATAATTGTGAAAAGTACAGAAAGCTATGAGACATATGACAAGGAGGTGGAATCAATCTTCTGTATGTAGTCAGGAAGGCTTGGTTGCAGAAATGGCTCCTAAGAGGGTTGAGAAGAAAAGTAAATCCTATATATATATAAATTGACATCTAAATATGGTAATGAATGGAATCATAAAATATGTTGACCCTTGATAATTTCTCAAAGTATTGCAGTGCAGAGGAGTGAGCTTGGGGACTAATGTCACTTTCATCTTTTTACTAATAACTTCTGAATGGGGTTGACCAAAGGCCAGTGTGGTTTCAGTGCTTTGCAGGCACAACATTGCTGCAGTGTAAACCCTAGGATAGTAGGAGAGAATGGTAAGAAACATTTTTTGATGTCCTTAAGAGATGAAAACATTTGCTTGAGTTGGGTGTAGCTATGTGATTAGCTGGCGCCATACACAGGGAGCAAGTTTCATGCTTTTTTCAGAGAGCCAGCCTCTTGTAGTGAAGGAGGAGTGAGTAAAACTTATTCAATGCCCAAAATAAGAAGAAAAAAAAAAAGTAACGACAGTGCTGCTTTCCTTCCTAAAACTGGCAGCACAATTCCAGAAGTTTGAGCTGCGCTACATTGTCATCTCCATGGGGTCTGTAATGAATCTGCACATTTTATTTCAATGACTGTATATCTAATCAGAAAAAGATGTCCCCATCCCATGATCTAGGGCCAAACAGTAAAAGGTGATTCCTTATGTTAACAATTTCAGCAGAATGGCTTATTAAAACCAGATTTTAGGGTATTATAAAATGCTTAGAAGCCCTTTAAAATGTCAACCAGGATCCCCAGAGACTACGTAAAATGTCAACCCAGCTCAAGCGCCTGTTTTAAGCAGAATGAATTAGCGACATGCTGTCGGAGGCTGTTATCCAAAACAATCAGTAAAGAGGAAAACACCAAGCTTTCTTTGTACTTTTATATGAAATGGGCCATTTAGAATGATCTTGTGGATGTGTGAAGACCACTTATTTTGTTTGAAGCTATGACTGAATACTGAGGTCCCAGACACCTGAGTGGTTCCTTTTTCTTGTTCTAGCTTTAATTAATACAATTTTATCAAAGTCTGAAATTAAGCAATACTATTTCATGTAACTATCATGATCATCAATATTCTCTTCTTCAAATCAGAAAGGAAATCTTTCAACCTGTCATTTCTTTTCCATCAAGGTTTTTGTTGCCTTTCTCAAATACTATATGAAAATGCATTTCTTACTCTGAGGAAGTTTTAATCAGTGGCTGTCCTTTTTCTAAAAATATTAGCCATATGAATTGAATGATGTTAAAGACAATTTAAACAATCTTCATCGTTTTTAAAATTTTATTTTATTCTTTTTCATAGTTATAAAAATAGGTAAGAAAATGCATTTCCTTTTGATCAGTTCACTATCTGATTATACATAGCTATATTTCTATACATATATTTTCTAGGACTTTACATGTTCAGATATTTTGAAATAACACTTAAAGATCTCAAAAATCATTTTAGATGAAGAGTTAGACACAAGTTTAAGTTTTTGTTTGTTCTGCTTTCACTACAAAAGCCTCTTGCAGAAGGGGTGGCCTCTGTCACTACTGTTGAGAGTGTGGGAACATGACAGCTCCTGATTAGTTCTAGAGTGTGAAGGATCAAGTCCATGCAATTCTAAATGCATTGTGGATCTGAATGAAACTTTAACAAAACCAATCCAAATTATTCAGGTAAAAATTTGCCACTATAAGACAGAGAACAACTTAGGTTGTCCATGAAGAGGAATGAGACAATATCAAGAGATAAGCACATACAAAATGAAATCTATCCTCCTCTTATTCCTAGGACGTAAAGTGGTCTATTATAACAATCTCTTTCTCACCTATTTTTTCCTGTGTGGTGTACACAAGGTAAATATGTACTTTGTTATCTGTTCAGCTAAAGCTTTAATGGCATGAAAGATCTTTTCTTAATGATACTGAACATGCCAAAAGATACTAAAAGCACAAATTAAAAACTGCACATTTATATCTTTCTTCTGACTATCTAAACTGATTTTCAAATACAATAGAAGGAAAACAGTAGACATGATCAATACTGGCTAAGGTAAGTGAACTTCTCCCCATTCTTAGTAAAGGGAAAACATTACAGTAATACATATATATAGCCACACAACTGGATTAACTACAGAAATTACACACATCTCATCAAAAAGAAAAGGATCAATGGCGGTGCTTATAAGCAGATAGCAAGACAACCTGGTAGAATTCTTCTTGTCTCTTTGAGTAAATGCAGAAAACAGAACTACATTCTGTATTTTTCCTTACCCAATATCTTGCTGATGTTGGAGTTGTGCATGTCAGGAAAGGCCTGGAGGATCTTCCTTCGTTCATCTTTAGCCCATACCATGAAGGCATTCATAGGGCGCTTTATGTGAGGTTCGTTGCTACCACGCCCCCTGGATTCTCTATAAATTCTTGATTCTGAGACTCCAGCACTTCCTAAAAGTAGGGAACATTGCTTCACATTAATGTTTGAACGTTCAGGGATTCCCTTCTGTGCGTGACTGTTTTATACTCTACTAAGTTATAAAAATATACATCTGATAGTGGTAGCTCCAGTTCTTAAAACAGATACTTATTTGCAAATGCACTTTTGTTTTTAATAATTTCTGTTTATAGTTCCTCTTTTAATGGACTGTCTCCCCATTTACTTTCAAGGGCACACAATAAATCTGGATTGTGATATAGACGAGAGAGAACAGTTGGAGCAGATCACTAGCAACGACAGAATGGATGACTCCAGGTGAGGATCTGTCTCTGCTCCTCAAGACTGTCAGAACAGGGAGTATTTGTGCCCTCTTCCTCTTTTTGAGCTTATGTAAATAAAAACATTGTCACATAAAATTTTGAGGTTAAAATACAATGCAATACACCTCTTTCTAGATGTCTGGCTGTACTTTGAGATTATGTGTTAATAAATGCTTCAGGTTTGCTGATACAGCAATGCTAGTCTGCTTCCTAAAAGCTATTTGAAAATGGCAGGAAAAAGAACAAATGAAAAGTTACAAGATTTCTTCACATGAAGTATACAGCCACAAAATAGAATATTCATTCCCCTGAACTTCCCTCCAGGACCTAAGTTCTCCAGAGAGCCCCCATTAATAAATACATTCCAATCAGCAAGACTTGAGATAATAAAACACAAGCGAGAGTCACAGGGTGCTGGCAAGTCTAGACCTCAGGAGACTCCCAGATTAAACAAGATGCACAGAAACTTGCATTTGATCAAAAAAAGAGAAGCAAATGTAGAATTACAACACTATCTTTTCTGGTTCATCATTACAGATGTATTTTGGTGGCCTATACACATTTACTTTCTGATTTTCAGAGATTTCATTATTACTGTGTGTACCGTTCTCTTTATTCTTCATAGTCTTCTTTCATTTCATTGAATGATTAAGAATCAACTAAATCTACTCATATTTAAGATGTCTACAGCAATTCCAACATTGCGAAGGCGAATGGATGATTATAAGTAAGAACTGTTGGTGGACTTTCTTATTCATAATGTGCTCTTCAGCCTGATGAACACTGGAAAATGTTTTTGCTTGCTTCAAAGCATGCCTGAATTTGATAACAGCAACAAGCTTTAATGCTGAATATCATGTACTAATACATATATAATAAACCCATTTTACTTATTAGTACTACTGAATGTTAATACCATATTTCATGTATTTTCTCTTTTATTGAGAAAAATCAGTGCTGATACATCGAAAGAGCCTCTGAAATGGGATTGTAAATAGCAAATAATCATTTGCATATCTGCCTGTATCAATGTAAGCAACAGAATGGACATTGTGGGAATTCATCAAAGCTAAATAAGATTTTGTGTGTGTGCTTATGCCAGGTTCACCTTAAACAAGTGAAGTGGGAAATATTTGGACACAATAGGCCAGAAAGCAGAGACTTGTCTTGGATAGTCAAGTGAATAAAATACAGTTTTGACAGAACTATGTGATTAAATGTTGTCTTCACCCTCCAGGAGTGTAGTACTGGAGTGAAAAACAAAATTGGCTGAAGGCACAGAACTGACAGCTATGTATTTGGGAGATTCTCCTCATAGTGACAAAAAAAGACATGAGATAAATACACATTTCAGGAAAGTTACTTTGGGGATAAGATTTAGGAAGGTGAGAGGGTGACCCAGACATTTGCCTTGGACTCAGGAGCAAGGTGTGGCATGTCTTCTTGGTAATATGCACCTCCCAGGAGACTATGCTAGGGACTCAGGAGGTGACACTGTGAGAACTTATGTGTGCTCAGGCATGAGGGGGTATTTTTAGTACTTTTAATTGGCATTAAATAAATACGTCTGCACACTACTGAGAGAGAAATGAAAATTTGCACAAACCGTCAGAATCTCCACTCATGTTAAAGTCCATCATGGCGTGGCTAAATTTTCCTTCTTCATTCTGTTTAACTGCCAGTTGTTGAGTCAGACTCTCCAGTGTTGTTTTTTCCTTAAAATAAGAAATTTCTAATGAGTGCTCAAACTGGAAAATACAGTGCTTAATCAAAACTATTTGGGACATATTATTTCCAAGCTAAGTATTTCAGTGATTAAGAAAACATATACAATAAAAGGTTTACAACCTTTTCTAGCATTCTCCATCATCCCTCTGAGGCCAATGTGGTTTCCAAAGCAGCTTTAAGGAAAGCATCTATTGGACTTCATCACTAATTTTAGGACAATTATTGATACAAGAAAATAGTAACAACAACAACAAAAAACTTTAAGTATATTGCATGTAAAGACTTAACTAAAATTCCTACCAAGCACCAACAGGGTATTGAGATTTTTAACATAGTACATACTTTACTACTATGTCCAATGTAATACTTACATTCTCTTAATTTAGTGGCCTTGAAACTCCTTTTCTCTGTTGTTAAGTATAAAGTATTGTAGGAAACTAGATACAACATAGTTTATATGAATATTAGTTCTAGAGGAATTTACTATGCCAGCATCAAAATCAGTTATATTTAAAATGTAGAACTTGACCTAGTTTGGATTATGCATGAAATTGTTTTCAGTTGCTTTATATGTTCTGGATTTCTTTTGCTCAAGAGCTTGTTGTGTCTATGCATCTAAGCTCAGGAGTACCAAGGACACCAGCTTAACAGACTTTATAGTGAATGTAGCTGTTAAAATAGAAGACAGTTACATTAAATGAGCTGAATTCCATCAACTTGTTCTGAATGCCTAGGGTTGGTGAAGGCGTCACAGTCCTTTCTTTGGGACACATACAGGCATGGATTGCCTCTCAGATTTTAGTTTAACACTGTACAAGGCAATAATGCTCCCTATTTTCTAGCGTGCACTCCATTCTTAAGTCCAATCTTTCAAGAGGAAAAAGCAAAATGAAGGCTACTGTAGTTAAACAAAAAAAGGATGAAATGTTAAGTGAGTTCTAAATTTCTGAAATAAGTTCTATGGACTGTGTGCCACTTACCCAGAGGCTAAAACTAGCAAATGAGGAGCGAAAAAGTCACATTTTTTACAAATAAGTAACCTCCAAAGTACAATTAGAAACCCTAAAGTAGAACCTACAATACTTTCAAGAAGGTGGCAGTAGGAGATGGTGAAATTCAACACAGTAAGCTGCTGTTTTTATGAACCTGTGCACAGTCATTAAAGCTAACTCTCAGACATGTGAAAAGGAAAAACGAAGAATTGGTGAACATGACTTTAATGAAAACATCTTGCAACAGCATGTAAATCAAAATGGTAACACGGTCACATTTCAGTGACAATATATTGGGAAATGTGGTGATATAATAAATCTATAGTAGTTATAAGGTTAATATATAGTAACTCATATGACAAAAAACTGCCATATTATCCATATGAAAATGGTTTCTGTAGAGAGAGTGTGTGTGTGTGTGTGTGTATCTCATGTATATATATGTATACACACACACACGCACATATATAAATTGAGGTTTTAATTATAGAGGTAGGTAAAGATCTGTATGTTGACAGGAGTCTAGAAAATGTAACTAAACCACTACTGCATGACTGAATATAAGACCAGTTGTTACAAGTTTAAGTTTAATCTATTCAAGCATGTAAGAGGAGAAGGAATGAGCCAAAAATTACAAAGGACAGATGCTAGTTCACTGTGAAGACTTCTTTTTGTATCCCACCCAGCCCAGCTGTTCTCTCTAAAAGAATGCACCTATGCACTTTCATTTGTTAAATACTTCCCAAAATCCTCTTTATATGTGCAAATATTACTGAAAAGGCAAATTTTTAGAATTAATGCCTTGTAAACAGACAGCTGAAACAAAACAAGGGCAGTAGTGACCCAGCGGGAAGGTGTTGAAAAATGGAAAAGAGCTAACAAATTGAGTTTTAAGGAAACTTTTGATGGGTTTAGGTGACAGTATGAATACAATTTATAATCTTAGTGACAACTAGTCCTGATTATTTAAAAAGAGTAGCCCACACCCTCAATTTTAGATCCGTTTTGTAGCAAAGATCTAGGTGGTATTTAACATACTTTATGGTCCTCTATATTAAAACGCCAAGTCATTAGTTTTCTTTTACACTACCTTTTTTCTATCAGAAATAATGCAAAACACACACACATTTGTGGAACTACTTGATAAATTTCTGATGTGCTGAGAGCACAAAATGAGTAACTACTACAAGTAGACAAGATGATATAGTCTTAAGACATTTCTAAGTAGGGACCAAACAAATTGACCTGTATTGCTCTCAAGTAAAAAACTATCAAAAGTAATAGAATTAACATTTAAGACATCTTTTGGAAAGCTGAGTCCTTTAGCTTACTAATTAAACCTTATATAACTTCAGAAATTTACTAAAATGAAGGTGAAAGAGTAGGTCAAGTCTGTTTTAATTAAAAAAAAATCTGATGGTAGACTGACTTGAATACAAAGGTCTAACTGAATTAGATCTCATCTGCAGAGGCAAATAAAGGCCTTATATTTCCTTGGAGTCAACTGAGTAATGCTAAAATATATTTGGAGGCCTTACTAGTACATTGACCATGGACCCTGTGGCTATCAAGTGACTTGTATAGTAGAAAACAATTTTCGCATTTATTTGCAATAACTTTTTGCATACAAAACCAGTGGGAATCAACAAGGAGGGTTAAGTTAGGAACTATCTAAAGAGGCAGGCAGTTAAGTAGGACTAGTTAGTCCAGACCTGTATTTTGTTTACCAACAACATTGTAAATGCTGCCATATGCAAAAACATGGATGGACACAGAGAGGGAATTATGACAATGAGCCAAAAAAAAAAAAAATAAAGCAACTTTTGGCCTGTAGGATCAATTCCCACTTACCAAAGGGGAAGGGGAGAAAGGTTGATAAGTAGGAAAAGGGGGACGATGAAAGGTAGATTTGGACTTTTAGTGGTGACTTAATGTAAACACACTGATTCTCAATGATGAACAGCTGAAACACATTTTCTAAATCAAAAATATAGAAATTGTTCATTCTAACTATTGAAGAATGCCCCTCTCCCCCACCGATGCATTTAAAAATAAGAATTTTGGTAGCAACTTTAAAAATTGTTGAGATTTTTTTTCTTTCTACTTGTTCGACTATGACAATGTATTTTATCCTTTTTCTCCATTTATTGCTCCATTACTTCAAGTTACTCAGGAAAGAATTTAAAATTCATCACATTCGTAAAAGTTCAAAGGAACATCCTTTGTTGATGTATCATAGGGCAGTCAAAACAAAGAAGCACAAGAGCTGTACTGTAGAGTAGATAGATATTTTCTTAGTTACACAAACCTAAATTAAACAGTGCATGAGTGGATGGTTCCTCCATTGCTCCTTGAAATTGGGATTTGTGTAAGTGATGCACTTTGTTCTCCACCAGACACATACACACACATAGACAGGCAGGCTGTGGATCAGCTATCCTAATGGACATCCCTGAAATAAAGCTCACAAAGCTATAAAACTCATAAAAAGCACATGCATGAAATGACAGAATTGAGTGTGACTGTCAAATGTTGACTCAGTAACAGTTAAAGCCCTTCTGGCTGTACTTTTTTATGGTTCTTTCTGTCCTAATGACATGGGAAGAAGAAAGAAACAAAAGAGGTTTTTAACCCTTCAATTATGTGAACCTCAAAGGCCACCAATAATGATAAGCCCATTATGATATTATAATCTTTTGTCAGTTGGAGTTGTTTTATTTTTCCACCAACTTCAATAAAATCAAAAGGAAAAGCCATGCGTCCATCTCCTCAACCTCATGGCTTCACCCATTCTGAGGTTGCCGTTTTCTCAACAATAACCACATGCCCACAAAAACTAAGAGCATAAGTGGAAAGAGTTGTTAATTACATAAAAGTATACATGCATCGGGCCCTCCCTGGTGGTGCAGCGGGTGAAAGCACTGCACTAAGAAGCATAAGCCACTTCCTCAGGAGTTTGATCCCCACCTGCCCCGGAGGAGATCCATATGACATGGCAGACCTCTCCTGACCCGCCCGCTGCTCCCCTCTGCAGTGTACTTCATAGATCTGCCTGTTCTGCTCCCCACTCTGTCCCTGGTGAATCATCTCATCCTCTGCATCTCTGGCCTGCACCCCAGTTCTGTATGAATAAATAAATCTTAAAGAAAAAAAAGTATACATGCATCTATACATCCTACCAATTAAAATACAAATTGAAATCTTTTGTGGTCAAAAGTGAATTTTCCATAGGACATTCTAAGTACTTGGAATTCTGCTAGCCTTCCATTAGAGAATGACAGACAAACACAAACTGCGGGGTTGGAAATATGCAGCCATACCTCTGGGCTGCTTATCTAAAAATCAGCCATATTTAATCCTCATTCTCCCCTCTTTGTAAACTTAAGAGTTCCCCTATATAACAAACTGAAGCATAATTTTGTTCCACAATCTAATTTCTTTTTATGAAATTTGGCAGCCAGATATATGAAATGCTTATTGGAGTATAATTCCTGCTAAATTTCTTACAAAGTTGTTTTCATCAGGCATTCTGATGCAGTATTGGCAGATAATTTTTTTTTTTAGGAAGTATTATGGAGTTGAAGATAGAAGGAAGGAAACACAGTTTCTATGAATTCAAGACTGCTAAGTCTAGGTCAATATAACTTTCCAGGATAGTAAAATGACTTGTAGAACAAAAAGTGATTCTGTATTTATTAGTGTTAATTTGACTTAAATTAAGAGGATATTAGAAAGTTGATGACAAATAACTAATTTTTCATAAATGAATAGAGAAATTTGTGGTGAGCAGCTTAGGTATTTAATACATGTTGTACAACTCCTGTAAAGATTAGCTAAGGGAACTTAGAGGATGTCATGATGGGGAGCAGCTAATAGGGATTCATTAAGGAAACTGTTATAATGACTACACACACACACACACACACACACACATATTTTCCTATAGGAATTGCAGTGACCATATGGTTTTGAACTCACTCAGTCCTGGATTATGT